ATAAAATTGGGTTTCAGGATCAGTGACACCGAAGTTACCGCCAAAACCTTTACCGGGACGTCCACCTCCCACCACAATGTTTAATTTTAACGCCCCACCCGGACCTAGTTAAGTGTTACTCTTCCCGCAGTCCTTTTCTTTTTCCTGCATTTTTTGTCGGAAAAGAACAGTTTCAGTCGAGGCTTAGTCCATTCGGTAAGTTAAATAAAGCTGAAATCCTGCTTATCGCGTGTCAATCGTAAAAATCTGTGTACTAACAGATCGATGGAACCCAGATATAGTATTTATGTATTTATAGCGACACTTTGATAAATGTAAAAATATCAAAACGCTAACTACTCACTTGATGCATCCTCAAGGAATATATATTTCGTCATTAGTATTCGGCATAGCCAGTGGTTCGTGTTCACCGTGTCTCACTCTCAGTCTTATTGAATGGACTATGCTCAATTTCAGTTACCTGAATGGCTTCCTTCCTTTTCTTAAATCCCCGTGTCTCCCCCAAACACAACTGTGATATAGTTTGAATATAAAAAATGCGTTAATGTAATTAGACGTTTAGATTTTAATGTAGCAGACGTAAGAAAGTGATGTGTATTGAAATGAATTTACGAATAAGTACACGCATATAAGTGGTATCAATACCAACAAAGGACTACGTATAAGTATGCTGTGTATGTGAGAGAGAGAAAAGAAGAGAGGGAGAGAGAGAGAATGTGTGTGTGTGCGCGCGCGTGTGTGTGTGTGTGTGGTGTGAGCAAGTGAAAGGGAGAATACATTACTATAATGTATATTACTATAAATATATTCTTTATAATAGCGATTGTAAAAATAATTTCTAGGAAAAGAAATATGGCATTATGTAAAATAAAAAAGTAATATTCTGTAGCACTTGTGTGTGTGTGTGTGTAACAATTCTCACCTCATATCTGTATTCCTTCGCAGCGCAGCGTGATAATAAGGAGGATGCGAGGAAGGTGTGCGAGAGCGAGTTTGCAGAATTTGAGTTATATAAATCATTTGGATACAGCGGATAGACAACATACCATCTGACTTTATTCTTTTCCTTTTTCCTTTCATTATTTTCCAATATATAGTCGAGTTTAATGATTTTGGAATGTATATGACAGAGACGACGCTCGATTATGGGACTTCCCATACTGTGGAGCTGTCGCTGCGCCGGCTATGCCTGATGACACCGTCGGCGTGACCAGTGTCTACAACATCGCTCAATTTGCTAAATCGCCTAGCCCAGCTGCCTCTGCCGATGCTTCCAGCCTCCCGCAGAACCGAAAGTAAATCATCCTCGTCCTCTTTGCCTCTTATTTCCTTCTCGTATTTTTCCTCCTGAGCGATCAGTCGCTCGCGTTGCTGCTGCGTCGACAGAGAATGCGGTACAGCCGGTATCACGTAACTCATAATACCGGTAAGTGCAAAAACCTGTAAATAATTTTTCCTTGATCCGAAAAAGCTCGTTTACCGTTTCGTTTCGAAGAAAGAAGAACTGAAATTCTCTCGACTTACAACGTGCTCGAAGACAACAACAAATGCTAAACGAGCGGCGAAAACGTGCCAGTATTGCGGACTGAGCCCGTAGGGATCAAAGTGGTCCGGGCCGTTTCTGTAGCCCCGATATTGACATGTCTCCGGATGTTCATCCTCCACGAGGCTCTTCATATCGTCGCGATAATCGGAAGTATTGAATTCTGACAAGGAGCTGTCGATATAACCCACCAGATTTTCGGTGGGCGAGTAAACGAACGCGTACACGCTTCGTGGAATAAAATCGGATGTGTACGCGATAACGAAGGCCTGAAATTCATTTATTAATGCAGAAAAAGTTAAGATGACAAAAGAATCGGAAGCAAAATAATGGACAATACATGCGTGAATAACGTGAAATAAAAATGTTCTCTTTCATTATAAAAGCCTTAAGTTATCTTGGCTGCCATTCAAGATGCGAAAAATCAATTAAGAAACAATAACAAAATTGTGTTGTCATACTAAATATTTTTGCTATTACATTAGCGAATTTTTTCTTAGTTATTTTCTTATATCTTTATCCAGGCAAGATATCTAGAGTGTTTATAATAACTGGAACACTGTGTATATTTCACGAAACGTCGAGATGTATGATTTATGGGAGGCTCGTTTACGTACATTGGACACCACAGCCACATATGTGACACCCCTAAGAATGCCAAACCAAGCTCCAATATCCTCTACACGCTCGGCCAACGGTCTTCGGGCTTCTTTTACCATTTTGTAAGCGTCCAGTCTTATCTCAGCGATGTTATTTAATAAAGCGAATAAAGGCGCCAGTGGAAACGCCGCCACAAACAACGTCACGAATCCGTACTGCAGAACTATAAACGTCACGAAAAGAAAAACGTTTATTGCAAAAAGACATTCCACTCTAACGTTTAGACGAAGGAATCACTACTCACTCATCTCTAAATATTCGTCGAACAAGGCTAATCTTCCCGGGTCCTGCAATTGATAATCCTTTTCCCAGCAGGTGTACCTTCGATCGTGGTTCTTCGTCGCCGCGACCTGTGTTCTCTTGCGCCACCAATTCCATAATTTTGGCGACAAGATCTCGACAAAGTTATTGAAGCATTGCTTGCCGACCATAATGATCGCGAGCTGAATACAGACCTCCGAGAGGCAACCGGCGGGATCGCATACATCCGTCTTGATGCGATAAAAATCCGAGACTCTCGCATCCGCGTCGCCGGGATGGACGAAAAATCTTCCCTAAAGAACGCATACATTTGAAACAACACCGTCTCTACACCGTTTACTGCGGTACATTGATATACCTTGAAGAACGCAATGTAAATTAAGGAGGAGTAAAAGTTGACAAACTCGAATAAAAAGATCTTGAACGTATAGCTAGCCTCGTATTCCGTCTGCGTCCTCGGATTCTCCATATTGACCATCCACCGTGCCAGTCGATGATATATTCGCGTGAGAATCATTATTATCACCAAGTTGATAAGGGCGGCAGTCATGGAAGTGAATATCTTTGCGTGTCTTTGCAGGAAAGAGCCACCTCCGCCATAAAAGACGGCGACTAGCGAGATGCGGTATACGATTGTCCCTAAAACTGCGCCGAGGACTACGCATATCTACGTGAAAGTAAGCAACGATAATGACAATTGTAATTACATTGCGCATCGTGAAATACAATTATCGTAAATGACTTGATTACCATGAAAAAGACCATCGAGCCGGTAGCGAGGTATCGTATGGCTTTGGACCATATGGGCAAATACGGTTCTTTTTCCTTTGTTACAGGATTGGTTCGAAACGTTTTAACAGACGTCTCGAATTCAGGTCTGGGCTCTTCATCGTAATCAGCATTTTGAAGATCCCATTCCCAGACAATTACGGCCTGGCGCCGTTTCCAGAGTTCGAGAAATGTGGTAGCTAACATCGGAGAGAAAAGTAAAATTATAACGCTATAAGGCTCCTGACTCTCGTTGCAATCATATTAAATTCATTTATGTCGGAAGCGACAAATGATGCGTCTATTTTTTTCTTCTATGTATATATCGAAATAAATATGATTTTTTTTTCTATGTCATTTCTCACGTTTCGATCTAAATTTTTTATAATCTATGACGTTAAAAAAATTTATTTCGACACATAGTACGAGAAAATCATTTCATTCATTTTTCTCTCTTCTGACGTTTTATAATTCAATGCGATTGCAGCGAGGTATTACGAGTCGTGAAAGCATAGTTGAAATCGAATGGAAAAAATTATTGCTTTCTTTCTCGAGATTCTTACCCCAGAAAGACATAAAAATGGCGAAGAAGACAGTCGCGGGATTGTCGAATAAGTACGTCAATTTTGAGAATATACAGGAATCACCGAGTCTTTGATAGGTGCACGCTTTGTCACAAAGAGGACATAGAGTGATATTTCCTACGGAAAAGCGCATAAAAATGTTATAAAAATTGCAAAATAATTTTTCATTTTTTAGGAAATGCAAGATACGCCAAATATAATACACGAAGAATTTACCAGCTACAGTATTATCGCAAATTTCCTTGCTGGGGATATTGTCTTCGCCGTCCATGCTACCAAGGCCATAAATAAAGCATAAAAGTCCCACTACTGCCGGCGGATATAAAGCTTTCGTGTAAAATCCCAGCCAGGCGAAATAAAGAGCAACCTTCTCACCGAAGTATCGTCTTATTAACCATAGTGGTTGTTTTTTGTACCTAAAAATGTGGAGACGCGTAAGTAACAGTTGCATTAGATCAATATTAGTTAATAATATATATGCATATTGGTTTTTGTTACAATATTACACATTGTGCCAAATATGATAAAATATCGTGAAATGTCATAAAATATTTCTATTACCACATCCCGGGTCTTGCCCATATTAAATACAATAAATGTCTATCAAGAATTTCTCCGCTGCGCATGGGCTTGTTGTAGGGACCTTCGTGCAAAGGGAAACAGTCGAGATATGTTCCGTCTGCTAAAAGTCTGCGAATACCGGACTTTTCGTGAGTCTCATCATACCTCGCCCGTAATAATATTTGCATCACTATCAATGATCTCTGAGCAGGCGTGTAGGCATTGTCCCTTTCCTTAATGATGAACCTTCAAAATATCAACCTTGATTAAATCCGACAACTTAATTAATTGATTTCGCGCGTGTTCAAATACCTCTCCTCGCGATCACTGGAATCTATGTAGTGATAAAAATTCGGTTCCTGCGGATGTTTCGTTGTATCCCACAAATGTAGTTTGTATATCCACTTGGTCCATCGCGTCCATCTCTCGTAGAACTTTGACATTTCTTTGGCACCGTCTGTATCCTATTTTCAATTCAAAATACGGTAACGTAAAATACGGCATGTGGTACGCGTAGCTTGGCAAAATAAAGGACATACCCAGGTTTGCACAGGGATCGTTTTGAATTTTTTCGTAGGTAATTTCAGCCCCATTACTTCGGCATATTGCACTTTGATTTTCCAAGGTATGTGCAACTTAAAGAAATACGTTTTTCCATCGAACGAATTTTCCTTCGGCTCTAATTCCAATTGCAGGCCCTCTTTCAAAAGATTCTGCTGAAAAACTCGTCTTTGCTCCCGCCGACGAGCTTCTATCTCAGTCATGACCCCCTCGTTCTCCTCCTGATAGACCAATACCATGTCGATTCTTCGATGACCGTCGCTGAAATTACCATATCGAGTCGAATTAACGAATAGTATAGCAGCGTGTAGCGTTGAAAATGTCAACTCGGAAAAATGACCTAATTTCATAGCGGCGCTCTTCTTTTCGCGCACGCACACTTTACATTAAGGGCGCGTAAAAATAAAAGACCTCCAAAACGGATCGATTTCCGTCATATTTTCCTCGCCTTTCATTCGCTTATACATGTCCACGCAACTATGAAAAAATGATGAGACAACCGCTAATGCTCTAGGGGAGCATCTCGTTTCTATTGTCGTCGTATAAGTACATGCTCACCCGTGTATAGAAATATACACGTATACACGTCTCTTGACGCTCGATTTGTCGTTTTACGTAGAACACTGAAATAACTCGCGACATATCGCCGCGGTAGGGTAGACAATTACTCACCGGAAATAAAGTATATCGGGATCGATCCCTTCGGTCTCCTTCGACGGCAACGAATCCCCAGTAGCCTCGACGAAATCCAGCGAAACTGGCGTATCCGGTAGCGAGGGGTGGTTGATTTCCGGCGTGGCGGGCATTGTGAGCTTAGGACCTTGGCCAATTTAAACGAAATTACTACAATCTTGCACGCGTCAGCGGCTCGGCTTTATTAAGTTGATTTAACCGATACCATCTTTCTTATGATACAAATGGAAATACCGTGTATTTCGCGAACTATTCACCCGTAAATTTCTGACTTATTTTTGTACGAATGATTACTTTCCACCACGATTTTTGCTGCGTGTTGTATAAAACGCTAAAGTGATATATTTTTGATATCAACTGATAGTATATGAATAAAATTGCACCTTTTCATTTTATATTAATATATAAACGACACCCACGCGCTGATATTCTTATCAATGTCAGGTGTGAGCAATCAGAACCTGTTGCATCGACGATAAATTTTCTGAACATGTTGCCTTTGATATTACGAAAAAGCAGCAACTATTCGATATATAAAAGAGAACTTGGTTACTTCTGCAATTAGAACGAATGAATCATTCTTATCAATAAGACAATAGAGCAAGGTCAAGTATGACGGGAATTAGCAGCGCGAAAACATATCTATCGCGAACTTACTTCAAAAGTCGCACGAAGAGTTGCTTCACCTTGAAAGCGCTAGCGTGCATAATGCAGTTTCGTATAATGCAGTATATACTTTCATAATGCAGCATTACTTTTGCAAAAGTAAAGCATTACGGCATTACGAAAAAAGACAAGAAGTTGAATGGTTAGAGCGCGACGTCCATAAAATGATAATACACCGTGCCGCCAGAGCCGAGCCGAACGCTGCATTATTAACATCCGATATTCGTGACACGCTGACATTCGTACGCATATTGATCCAAGTTCGCTGATATAGCTCCATTGCCATTATAGACGATCGCGCGCTCATACGACTCGTGCTCTTTTGTCCCTTTCTGCATATGTCCGTACAGATTATATCACGCCAACAGCTATATCCAGCGAATCCTATTTATTAAAGCGCGATGCGAGGGAGAAATGTGTTAAAATTAGCTCGTATTAGTGCGCAATAATAGAATTACACGTTTTGCAAAGCATGTCACTCGGACAAGCTCGGGAACGTTGACAACTGCCTGTTATCGAGCGTAGCTTGTGTCAACTTTGACGTCAGCCTTGAAAATGAATCCTAATTTTTCCTAGCGCTAAATCGCATCGATCCTCACCAAACGCATCCTGTGCGATCAGGTTCGTCCCGGACGGGTATACGCTGGACCTCGAGAGTCTTCTCTTGACGCTGGGCGTTCCACCGATCAGGCCGTTTTTGTCCGGCTCGTAAATGATCTCCTTGCTCCGGCAGATCGAGCCGATCAGCTCCGGTGATTTCGGCGCGCGGCCCACCTTCGTCGGCGTCGACTTGACGGAGGACACGCGGGAGGAAAGGTTCCCGCTCGACTCGTTGATATGATGCTCGACCGGGCTGTTGTCGTCAGGATGAGGAAACGCGTTCCAGCTGCTGGGCCTCCGTTCGCGGTCGGGCTGCAATCGTTCGCACACTCTTACACGCTTTTCACAAGCTATTGCCGTTGCCAGTTATGTCCTGTTCGTATCCTTGGCCGTAACAAAAGCAAACGCAGCGGGTCGGAACTCTAATTTTGTAATGAAACTGTCAACAAACGCGAGCAAACGGCAGAAAACGAAAGAAGAATAAAATGGTCCGACGATCGATACCTTAATCGCTCCTAAAGATCGAGAATCAACACAAAATCTCGTTAACGTATATTACACAGAATAGCGTATTACGCCGATTACAGTGAATTCGAATATCAATTTGAAATGTAAAAGGAGCGTCTTTTTTTTTACAGTTTATTTCCGAGATCGAAGATACAGGTATCGATCCCCGAGTCGCGCAGAGATGAATTATTGAGATATACGTGTATCTTTCGTTTAGATGGATCGCTTATGTGATACGCTAATCGTCAGCTTGACGTGTTTCATTTTAACGGACATTATTTTCTGTTTTCTTTTCTCTTTATTCGCGCTGCACGGATACGTTTTACGTAATGTGTCAGTTGCGTTGTAAAATTCAATGTTTTCTAATTTACTTTAAAAGCGAGAAAGAGAGAGAGAGAGAGAAAGAGAGAGAAAAAAAAGGAAAGGAAATCTATGTATGTGTGTGTATGTATATTACTAAACGATGACTCACTATGAGAAATATTCTCACATGCGCGGGATGCAAAACCGATTTTTGGAACGGTGCTAAGTATACCTGGCTGTCATCGTCTACTTGCAGCTTGTTATCATCCATGCCGAGCTTCGAGTCTCTTTCAAGGCGCGCTCACACAAAGTACGTCCGGAAGACTCATGACGGATAGTGCTCGGAACGTCGGCCGATCCGATAACATCTTTCTCTCCGGAAACAACGAATTTCCATGCGACGATTACTCGTCGGCTGTCACACGCAACAGGAGGTTGAAGAGTTCTCTGCCACGCGGAAGAATCATTTCGAGCGTAGCGCGATGATTTCGTGACGTCGTACGAATGTGCGTCGCGCGCGCGCTGCCGGACAGTTCGCGGATGAGCTTTCTTGATCGCGTCTGATAGTTAATCGCGAAAAAACGAGCATCGATCAGTGTTGATGGCTCGGATAGTGGCGGTAGCGGCCTCGACAGTTGGTTGCGGCGGTCGTTCAATTATGAATGGAGCCGCAGCTCGACTCCGCTCACAAAAGCGCGCCGGTGGTCAGAGAGTCGTGCGCTCAAAACACCCTTAAGCACAGGAGAAGACGTAGATGCGGGAGAGGACACTTTGCAAGTGATACTTTAACCCGCCCATTTAATCGTCTCGTGCGTATATTTGCGCAACGTAGCATGATGCTGAATCGTCAGAGCGGAGTTTGGATTTCGCAGGGCGTTCCGAAGTACATTTGTCAATCCTTCAGGATTCACAGTTAAATCGATTATCTGTGCGTTGTCACTCGCAATCTGCTTATGTTTGCTTTTATTCATCAGTTTGATTCTTCAACACTTTTGTGCTTTTTCGTAATATTTCTAAATGTTTGTTAAAATTATTTCATACGAAGACTGCTCATCCTTTCTTCTTTAAATCGTCACCGGTCGATAGACTATGGACGAAAGATCCAGGCATGAAATGAAGCGAAGAAAGCGAGATGGAACGATGCGATTCACGTGTTTGTAGCTTATTAATAGTTTTTATCGTGTTCAATTGTCGGAAAATGTTCGTACGAACGAATTGTTCTCAATCGAATCGGTAGCTTTTCCGCGACAGCGACGTGACATATACTGACCGGTAGATAGCAAGGCAATACTTATATATCATACACGTATCGTCCTATTAATGTCCCTTGTTTATGTGGTTGTACACATTTCGCGCGGGCGTACGTGTCTGTGTGCATTACCTTCGCGCAGGGGGTGAAGATTTCACCCCGTTTGAGGGGTTGGAAGCACCGAGCAGCGGAATGTCGAGGCTTTCGAAATTGCTATGGTTACTCGACGAACACAACATATGTTACATATGTTGTGTTAAACGCGATATTTCTTCTTTCAGCCTGAACTTGAAACAGACAGATCGCAAATGATATAAAAGCGAATAGAGCATTCTTTATCTCGTTATGCGCGAAACATGAATAGCGAAACTAAAAATATTAGTAT